TTTCTTTGATTTAAGTTAAAACTGGTTTTCTTAATAGTAACGAGTGAACTCACCATTGAAAGTAGTTAGATTAAGTAAGAAATTGTGTGATGAATACAATGTGGGTGGGAAAGGAATGGAAGACAATTGTAGACACCAGAGATAGTGTGAGAAGAGGGTGGGAAAGGACAGAGGGTCAGAAAGAGGGGTAAAAATAATTCTAGGAACTATAAATGGAAAATTTTTTATAATATGCATGATTAAGTCACTATGCAGTATATACTGGTTGGGAAATCACACTTTCTATGCTGTGATGATGCTTAGGGGGAAAGAATGTAAATTAAGTTACAAAAAAAAAGTTTCAGGAAAAAAAAGTATATATATATTCAATGACTGCAGTAAGATATATAGTCCCAGCTAGGTGCTACTTTATAGGATGCGTAAAGTTAGACTTGTGTTCATGGAAATGTATATATCACCTGTGTTTGCTATGAAAATATTTAGATTAATTAAGGTCTTTAGTAATTCAATAAAATGTGGGGGGGGAAACAGTATAGAAAGCAAACATAGATACCAGAGACAGTGTGGGAGGAGAGTGGGAGATGGCAGAGGGTAAGAGATAGGGAATCAAGGATGGGGGGAAAAAAAGCAAAACATACAGAAAACAAGAAATGGAAGATTATTTGCTGACAATAACATGTTTGTTGATCTGCTTGATTGAGACAATATACAGTGTCTGGATAGAAAATTTCATTTTGTATGCTGTAATGATGTACAGTGAATGAATGCAAATGAATAAACTGAAATTTAAAAATTTTTTTAAAAAAAGAGTTAAAGCACAAGGAGACAAAAATGAAAGTTCAACATTTTTCCAATTAGGGTTCTATAAAGAAAGAATGGAGGAGAAAAAAAAATATTTGAAAACCTAATGGTTGATACTTCTCTAGAAATAAGGAAATACAAATCCTCAGATTTAGAAGACACACAAAAATCTCAAGAAAGATAAATAAAAATAAGTACAACTCTACACACATTGTAATCAAACTGTAAAACACAAAAGATAAAAAGAATATTTTACAAGCAAAGAGAAAATACAGATTATACAGAAATGAGCAATTACACTAAAAGCTGGGGTCTCAATACCAAAAATGAAAGCCAAAAGACAGGAGCATTGAATCTTATTAATGTAGAAATAAAATCATTGTAAACTTAGAACTGTAAACCTAGTAACATTATTTTCAGCAAAGGATACTAAAGTAAAAATATTGTAAAAGAAAATCCATAAACTGACCTAACTAAAATGATATGAAGTGGCCAGACAGTGACACAGCAATAAAATGTAATGCTCTGCAAGGCCAATCTACATAGAAAGATTCCAGGTTAAGTTCCAGGTTCATTTCCATAGACCTCCTGGAGTATTACTCCAAGCACATTTGCCCATCATTGGGGCTGACTGAAGCTGCAAATGAATCATGGCATCAAGACCCTGTTGGGTATGCTATCTCTCTCCTTCCCGTTGCCTTACAAGTAAATAAAACTAAAAAAATAAATAAATAAAAATTTAAAAAAAAATTTTTTTTGAAGAACACACTTCAGAAAAAATGAAAA